CCGCGGCGGCGTGCCAGACAAAGGAACGATCCTGGGAGAAAGAGGTTCGCATCCAGAGAACAAGCGCGCTGCCCGAGAGCATGGGGGGCGCTCTTCTCCACTGGGAAGACACGGCTGGAGAGGACATGGGGGGGATATGTTTCTGCGCGCGTGACTTCGGGGCCAGGCCGTCGAAGCGCGAGCGACGGCAAGACGAGTGCTCGCTGATGCAAGCAAGCCCCGCGCACATCATCGCCATCTGCGAGCGCGACGATGAGCTGATCCACGTGCTCTCTGGGGAACGCGACGCCGCCGAGAGCGCGGCCGCAGTGGCGGGCGACGCGCTCGCAGATCGAGCGCGCTGCAATCGCTTGCGCGCGAAGAGCGGCGAAGAGAAGGGGGCGCCTCTCATGGGTGTCAGAGACCGCAGTTGCGATAACATTGAGTGCCTCGATCGCACGAGGGTCTTCCACAAACAAAAGAAGACGACAGCAGGGAACGTCTGCGACAAGTATTTTCAGGGCCCTCGTCGCGCGCATGCCCCTGGACCATTCCACCGCGCCCTTGGGTTCCGAAGTCGCCGTCGTGGCAGCGCGCGTGCGCGACGAGTTGGCCCGCGGCGATTTTGGCGAGAACAAGCTGACCAATGCCGCGATTGGTTCGTGGAGTACGTCCAACGGCACAACGCGCACGTGTGCGTGGGGGGCTTCACCATTTGAATGTTCGATTTGGTCACAAAATGCCGCAGTCGCGGCCTGATCGCGGGGGCGGCCGCGCGGGCTCCCTGGCAGGCCGCGGGCGGCGCGCCGACGGCAGATAGCATGGCGATTATCTTCGTCGGCCAGCCCGGGGGGCACCGCGTCGCTGGGCGTCTTAGACGAAGGCAGCGACGGGCTCCTCTCGCAGCGCAAGTCCGACGCATTCCTGACGTTCGATTGCGCGAATGGTCCGGGGAAGCCGCTGGAGACATATTTGTCCAGGAGCTTGGCCCGAGAGGGCAATTTGCGCCCTGTTCTGACGCCATCTGCAGAATCTACAACCGCAGTCGCGGAGTTCAGTAGGAAGAGTGCGCAGGTCAAAGAGGGGCGCTCAGAACCCGAAGGATGGGGGCCCCGCCCATTCAAAACCACGCAGAGACAGCTAAACGTCGAGATCTGGAAGGGTTCCCAAGGAAAGGCGCGCAACGGAGCGCGCTTCCCACTGCTGGTGTTTACGCGCAACCAGCCCCGCAGGTCGCCAGCGAAACAGGCGGAGAGGCTGACGAAGCGGCGCAACAGGCGCGATGAAGCGGAGGGCGGCCATCCGAAGGGGGGCCATCCGAAGGGGGGGCAGCTCAAGGGCGACAGCGGCAAGGGCAAGGGCAACCAAGGCAAGGGCGACCAGGACAATGGCAAGGGCGAGGGCATGGGCGACCACCAGCGACCACCTGACGCCGCAGTAGCGGCTCGCGGCCCTGATGCCGCAGTAGCGGCTGACGCGGGGCACCGCGGCAGCTGGCCAAGTAGCAGTTCGCAGGACTGGTGGTCAGGGAGTTGGGCATGGCGCTGGGATTCCTGGGGTTCCTGGGATGCGGGATGGGGCTCCAGGTGGTGGCGAGACCAGGGCGCCGCAGTCGCCGCTGATACGCCGCCCGCAGCTGAAATTTCGAAGCCGCAGTCGCGGCCTGGCGAACACGAGCAGGCGGCCGTGGACATTTGGGCTCCGTCGAATCCGTTTGCGACGGCGTCAACCGTGGAGTACCGTGGACGGGTTTCGTCAACCGTGGAATACCATCATCATCACTATGGCGCCCTCAACAACTGGATGCCGCCTCTGTGAAGCCGCAGCTGTGGACTCGCAGGGAACAAAAACGCCATCATCGCTATCGTATACCAGCATTCGCGTGGTTTTAACAATCGCCAGCGACTGTTTGAAACCACGCTGGCGTGGTTTAGAACAGTCGCTGGCGACTGTTTTCGCTAAGTTGCTAAGTTGCGTTGTAAAGGCTTTGGGGCTATCGCCCCCCAGACAGCCCCAAAGGTCCCCACGAGCGACCCAAAATGGCTCAAGAGAGTCCCAAGACTGCCCAAACCGGCTCCAAAATGGCTCCAGAGGCCCCCAAGACGGTGCCGAGACGACGAACCAAAACATACATGTCGGGTCCTCCGCCCCGATTGTTCCCAGGAGAAACCAAGAGGCCCCCCAAGAGCTCGCCAAAAAAATCCGAAGAGACCCCAAGAGGCCCCAAAAGTCTCCCAAGAGGCCCCTGGGAAGCCCCAGCAGGCCCCCAAGCGGCTCCCAATAGACCCGCGCACTGTCCCCCGAGGCCCTCGAGAGCGTTTCGACCGCACCCCAAAAAGCATCCCTGAGGACTCTGACCCACGTCAGCGTCGTCGTCGTCGGCAGGCCGACAGTGTATACACAGTGAAGCGGTTGCCGCACTGCCCTATTGCCTTGGCGGCGACACACCACCCCGATCCCGGTAGATGGCGAATCCATGGCGACTCCTCCGCCATCCAGCTCCTCATACCTCCTCCTCCTAAGCATCTTCCTTCCTCCATCCTTTTCCCTTCCTTTTCACCTCCTCCGTCACCCTTCTCCTCCTCCTCCTCCTCATCCCATACCTTAGATTTTTGAATATTTGCAGCGTCGCAATCTTCGTCGTCGTCCCCCATTCAGGGTCGGCGGCACCAGCCGTGAAACCTTCGCAATAATTTGCAAAGGTTCGCTTTTCCAGTTGTGTTGGGCTGAAGAGGAAACTTTCAAAAGGTTCACTCTCCAGTCGCGGGAGGCTTGAAAAGGTTAACGCTCTTGTTTGCATTTGGGCTGGGGGAGGAACACGATAAAAAAGGGTCATATGTTTACATGTACCTACATATGTACATAGATATCTAGCCGCGGGACAGGGGACTTGAAAAGGTTCAATATACAACTGCGGGAGAGGAATTTGATGAGGTTCACTTTCCCGGTTGGGTTTGGGATGGCAGGGGAACTTGAAACAGGCTCGTTCTCTGACAACGGGAGAGGGAACCTGAATAGGCTCGCTCTGGGGATTCTGTCTTGAGTTGGAGAGGGACTTGAAGCTGCACAATATCCAGCAGCGGGAAACGTTCCGTTTCTGTTTTGGCTGGGGAGGGATTTTGAAACGGTTCGCTCTAGCTGGTGGAAGGGGACCTCGAGAAGCTTACCTTGTGCAGACCGTCGTGGTAAAGTAGTCGGGTACATCGGCGAAAAGGGAAAGCATTGCTATAACAATTGCTGACACGCTGCGACATATAGTGTGAACACTTACGCAATCCTGGGCATTTTCCTCCAGTCTCCAAGTCACGGCGAACCACCTGGTCGTTCGGAGCCAGCTCCGCCTGGGCGTCGTTGTCGTCGTCATCATCGTGCCCGTCGTCCGTTCGGGCTCGCTCTCGCACCCAGGTGCTCACAGACAAATGCCCTCAGCGAGATGTGCCAGGAAACTGACATACACAAATGAGGATCTCCGCGTCGAGTAATGTTTGACTGTCCTGGGGCCCAGAAGCGTCCTTCATAACCAAACAAGTACATGCACACTGACCGTCGCGGTGTTTCTCCTACCCCCCGCCCTGTGTTCATTCCTTCTTTCGAGTGGAGAACTGCGGCTCCGCTCCTCCTCTTCTTTCATCACACATCCTCCTCTCCGCTCGCCTCTTACCTCTTGCCTGCCTCCTGCATGCCTGCCTCCTATTCCATCCGTGCTTCATACCTCGCCTCCCTAGGCAATGCCTCCTACATCGTCGTCCTAGGTCCAGCGGAGGGCGGTGCCACGGGCGGCCAAACGAGACCTCGCCTTCTCTGGGTGGTGCCAGCTGCGCTCTCGTCGTCACCTTCATGAGTCTGTGTGTGTGTGTTTGGTGGGGGGGGGGGGCGGGTCCAGCGGAGCGCACTTGTTGTCACTTTCGCGAGCGCCTGGGAAGTCCCGCGGAATGTGGTCACATTCGAATTCGTACTAGTAACCCCCCACACTGGGCGCTGCGACCTGTTGACTTGTTCTTGAGCTCCTGGAGGGTCCAACGGAGTGTGGTCCAACGGGGACCCAAACGAAACCTCTTCCTCCCCGGGTGGCGCGAATTGGGCAACTGTCGTCACTGTCGCAATATCATGGGATGTCAATCGGAGGGTGGGCTGCGGGGGCTCGAAAGAGGCCCTACCTTACCAAGCCGTGATTTCTGTCGGGGGGCAACGGAGTATGGTCATACAGGGACCCATGGCGTGAGCTGCGCACTGCGCAACTATCGCATGTCTTGTGAAGAAGTCCCGTGGGAAGAAGTCCTAATCGGAATTGCACAGCTGGTGGCATTTTCGTGAGCTCCTGGGAGGTCCAGCGGAGAGCGGGGCTGCGGCTACGGGGGCCCTAACTAATTATTTCTCCCCTCCCTTGGTGCCAAATGCGCACTGTTCGCCAGTTTCGTGAACTCCTGGGAGGTCTAGCGCGGTGCGGTCGTGCGCAGACACACGCTACTTCTCCCCTTCCTAGGCGCAGCCAATCGCGAAATTATCGGCGATGTTGTGAACTCCTGGAAGGTCCAGCGGAGTATCAAGTACCCGCCTCACTGGGCGTTTTCGCCTTACGCTCCTGGCCCTTTTTCGTCTTCTTTATGCGTCCTTCCCCCTCCGTCTCGCTTCTTGTAGAACTGCCTCGCATGGGTCCATGGCCCATGGGTCGTGCACGGCCATTTGCTCGAATATCACTGATATTATATCAGTTGCGTCAAGAGTGATCCCACGCCCTTTCCTTATATCGCTAGTTCTGTCCAGGCCCGATGCTTTGGGTACGTCCCTGAATGATCTTCACGAGCGGCGAATCAATTCACATCCACCCGCTAGCGGTTTGGATTCTGGGGCGCGATCCCGCGGATACGCGGTCGCACAAATACACTCCGTGCGGGGCACCCGAAAAAAACGCCCCGTGTCCGCGGGGTCGCCGCCCAGGGGCCTGGCCCGCGGGGCCGCGGATACGGACATGTGCTCACGAGATATTGGGAAGCGGAGGCCTAAGGGTGGGGGGCCCCGTCCTCGCCGAACGCGGGACAGTCCAGCGCCAGCGCGCAGAAGTGGGCGCCGCGCGCCGCCTTCGGGGACGCACCGACTCTGGGTCAGCGCAAGCCCGGATCAACCAGGGCCACGCCGCGAACCCAGGCCGGCCACGAAACAGCTCCCCAGACCGGGTCAGCGGAGGGCGGGGGAGCGGGGCTGGCTCCAGGAGGCCGCCAAACCCGGGTCGACCGGAGGATCTCGGATGGGATGGGCTGACCCCCGTCACGCGAGCCCCGACGCCTCCGCCGCAGACAGCCGCCGGTCCCACAGCAGCAGCGCGCGCAGCAGCTCCGAGGCCGCTGGGGGCAACCGCGACGGCGCCCCGGGGCCGGCTCCGGGGCCCGGGGCAGTCGCCGGCTCCTCGGACGGGCGCCGTCCCCAGACCTCCTCGCGTCGTGAAGAAAAATACGACGGATCTTGTCTGCTTCCAGGTTTCGGCACAGGGGGGGCCATGCTGGGCCTCTGGGGCCGTCGCGAAACGACGCTGGATGAAACGACCCTGGGGAAAGGGTTGAGGCATCTGGCGGTCCGCGTTGCGAATAATTCGCGACGTAGGAGGTCCGGAGAAGAGGGGCAGCTCAGAAGCACGGCCACGCCTCGGAGCAGAGAGGTGGTGCCGCAGAGGAAAAGCGGCAGTACCTCAGAGGAGGGAGGCGGTGCCTCGGAGGAAGAGCGCCTCCAGAAGTAGGACAGCGTCGCGGAGAATGACGAGATCCGAAAGATCCTGTCAGCAACCCTTGCACCTTCAACCAACCGCTGCGACCTCGGGAGCACGCTGAGCCCAGCGATCTGACCAGCGCTTTAGGCAATCCAGCGAGGAGCTAAAGTGATGCACAAGACTTTAAGGGGTAGCTTCTTAATGCGAGTCCCATGGACGACTGAAAGGCTGAGAAAACAATGGATGCCCGTTCAAAATAACGGCCAAGCAAGAAACCATGGCAACGACATGCTGAAACAAAGGACGCCTCAATCGGAACTACATACTTTGTCTAGCGAAGAGGAGCACATCCGCTCAAGACTCGCGGTGGGAAGTGTTTTCTTCTTGAGAGCCAGGGTACGGTACGAAAGTGCATATCGGAGACCATGGTCATCAACCACTCCGATGTGAGGAGACGTCGGGTCTGGCTCAAGACACAACAAAGTGGGCTTCCCACACGAGGCTTCTGCTCGGAACTGCATGCCATTGTTCTGAGCCCTTTGCTGGGCCTGCTGGGTTTCCGGACGGTCGCCGCCCGTGGCCGCCTCGTGCTGGGCCCTGCGGACCTCCGCCTGGTGGCCGCCCAGGGTCGCCTCGTGGCCGCCTCGTGCGCTGCTGGCTGGGCATTCCGAGCCGTCAGACGGGCGCCGCCCGCGGCCGCTTCGTGATCGCCCCGTGAACCGGACGTCACGCGCTGGTCACCAGCACTAGCGTGAGCGAAACATGGCGTACGGCATACGGGCCTGCAGCCGGGCAGGCCAAGATGAGTTCCAGGCAGAGAGACGCAAGCTTCCCCACTAAGGGGAAGGGGACTCCACGATGCAGAACGCCAGCCCGGAACGCGGAAGATGAGGACGAGGAGGGATGAGATGAGGGGGCAGCCGCTGGCAGCTCCTGTGCCCGCAGGCTTCTCGGGATCGCTGCGTCAAACCTTGCTGGCCAGCAGGGAAACGCCATGTGCTACTGGGTAGCTGAATCATACTGGGAGAACAGGAGGAGTACGGAGGAAGACAGAAGAGGAGGGAAAACATCAAATAGACGCGGACAAGGAGGGGCTTCAATTGGGGGCTACCTGCTGTAAGTCAGGCTGCTGTGAGTCACGACGCGGCGAAATTCAATGCGGGGAACAGGGCCACGCAGTGCTTCCGCAAACAGCTCACTAACTTGGTGGAGGAAGACGGCACAATGGGCACGGAAGATTTTAAGAGGGAGCTGCCTCCTAAGAGCAAGGATGCCATGGCCTCGATGTACTACAGTGATGATCCGCCTGTCATGAGCGAGGAGACCGCCACGAATGAATCCAATGGGAGCTGCCCGCAGAGAGAGCTGGGACACGGCGAAGTGCGGCAAGGGAGATGAATTACCGCGTGCCGTCGTCGATCCCAAACATTGACGTCTTGCAGTTTCGAAGTCTCAGCCATGTTGTATGAGATGGGCCGCAGGCGGCGACGGGCGGGAACGTGGCGAGAGCCTCGGCAAACCCCCATACGCCACAATGGGCGGCAACGGGCGGCAACTGGCCAGGACGTGGCAGATCCTCCGGACCCCCCACAAGCAACAGCGGGCGGCAGCGGGCGGCAACTGGCGGGAACGTGGCGAGTCCTCGGGACACCCCACAGGTGGCAACGGGCCGGAACATGGCGAATCCCTGGAACATCTTCACATGCGGCAGCGGGCGGCAACGGGGCGGCAACAAACCGGAACGTGGCGAATCCTGGGGACACTCCCACAGGCGGCAACGGGCTGGAACGTGGCAGATTCTCCGAACACCCTCAAAAGCGACCACGGGCGGCAACGGGCGGCAACTGGCCAGAACGTTGCGAATTCTCGGGATGCTCCCTCAAGAGGCAACGGGCCAGAAGGTGGCGAATCCTCTGGACACCCCCACAAGCGGCAATGGGCGGCAACTGGCTGGAACGTGGCGAATCCCAATGACATCCCCCGACAACGGGCGGCAACGGGGAGGCAACAAGCTGGAACGTGGCGAATCCTCGGGACACCCATCCACTCCCTTAGAAACGCAAGTCCGCCCATCCAGCGTGTGATTTTCAAAAAGCTATAGCCTGAGCATCAGCTTTGCTGAGGGGGTTGCTGGGGTGGCCCTGCCAGGGAAAGGGGGGAGGGGCCAGGGCTGGGTCGGGGCAGGGGCAGTTGGCCCCCGGCCGCGGCCCGCAGGAGGCCCCCTGCAGGGTCGCACTGGCCAGGGCCCGCAGGGCCGGGGCCGGGACACGGGGCCGAAGTTGCGGCAGGGAGCGGGCGCGGCGGGGCTGGGGCCGAGGCCGGGGCCAGGGGGCCGGGGCCGGAGCCAGAGCCGGGGCCCAGGCTGGGGCAGGGGCTGGGGCCCCGGCTGAGCTGGAGCCCTTAAGGCCCGGGGCCGGCCGGGGCCGGGGCCGGCGGGGCTGGGGCGTCGCAGGGCTGGCGCAGGGCTGGGGCCGGGGCCGGAGCTGGGGCCCGGGCTGGGGCCGGGGCCGGGGCCGGGGCCAGAGCCGGGGCCCGGGCCAGGGCTCCTGCTCAACGACCCACCAACGGACACGACGCAGTCATTCCGTTCAACACATCATACTGCTTAAGGCGACTGCCAACACCCTCCTTCCCCTTTGTCCCTTCCTCCCTCCGTATCCTCCCTCCTGCCGCCTTGACGTGAAGGTCACAAACTATCAAACAGGACGACGAATTCGCACGGAGCGTTCTGGAGCTTCCCAGATCGGCGGCACAGGCTGGAGGCCGTCTATATCAAGAACCCTTGAGTGCAAGCACCGTTTGGGGAATCGACAAGCACCTGCAGATGCAACCTCAATTACAGGCATCCCGATGATGGGGCTGGAAGGCTGCACTCGAGGCCTTTGCCGAAGCCCATCAGGGTGACGCCCAAGTTCCACAAGCCGCCGCGCCCATGCTTCACCCGAGGCTGCCCAGCACGATGTAACATCGACGCAGCAACACCACGACGAGGACCAGCCCCTCTAGGAGCGGTACAACTACGAGGAACACAACCACGAGACGCACTACAACCATGGCACGACGGCGGTCAACCGTTGCCCCACCGACCCCTGTGGTGGGGAAGTTCACGATTCGCGAGGGGACTCGACGGCTCCAACGCCGCCTCCCCTCCCGAATGGAACACAAAACGGCATGCGCATAATTTCTCGGAGGTCCGCTCAGATTTCTTCGATCGGCGCTGACCCCCCTCCCCGTCGCGCGGAGCGCGCCAGGGGCGGCGCTGGAGGCGCCGCCAGGGGGGCCCAACGTCGCTCCAAGAAATCAGCGCCGAACTCAGAGAAACTATGGTCATGCGGCTTTTGTTCTTCGACTCACTGGAGGAGGCGGGTGTTTCAGGAGGCGGGTGCTTCACTTTGAGCCCTCTTGCGAGCGCCTCTTCCATAGGGTCGCAGGCAGTAGCCGTCCTGGGCACACCTCCTGGGGACTCCTGAGGCCTCCTGGAGCCTCCTGGGGCGTCCTGCGGGGGCCTCGCCTCCCTCCCTCCACTGCCCCCCCCCCTCAGGCTCCAGCGCGGACGTTGGCGCATGCTTGCGCGTGTGCATGCTCGCGTTGCCTGCGCGAGCGTGTGCGCACGTTCGCCCTCCGCGCCCCGCCGGCGGCCGACGGGCGTCGGGCATCAGCGATTGCGGGGAGGCCCACGCAGGCGGTATGCGCACGTCCTCGGGCGCCCATATGATATGCACAACTGAGGGGCGCCCGCTGCATTCGCGTCGGGACCTGTACATCTGACGCTCCATGGTCGGGGGCGCGCTAACCGAGGTCAGCCAAAGCCACGTCGGGAACTTGTGCTGGCCACATCGTAATTCCCAAACTGGGTCAGCGGAAGGCGGAGAGTGGGGGGGGGTCGGATCCACATACGGCTCCCAAGCCCGGGTCAGCCAGCTGGACCCAGCGCTGACACCCCTGCGACGTGCGCCCCAACATTTGTGCTGGCTGTCCTCCGGCATGCCGCAGAAGGCGCGAGCACGCCTGCACGCCGCCGCCGCCGCCTCCGCGGCCGTGCTGCCGGCCGCGGCGCGCGACGAGCCCAGGGACGCCAGAGCCCGGGACCTCGAGAGGAAGAGCCTGGTGAACAGAGAGGATAGGCAGTCACGGCCAGCAATTTCCAAAAAGGCCCTGAACCCAAACACGTTGGCATCACTTGGAGGCACACCTTCTGCTTGCAGTCATCGTGCTAACACAAGGAACGATGAGTGAGGAACGAAGGCGTTCGTGGCCACGGCGATATTCGGCCACAAACAGACTCCCCGACCTAGATCTAAGGAACGGCCACAAAACCCAAGCTCCTCTTGAACCCGACATGGCCCGCATTTCAATATATGTAGGCCGGCTTCCGCTTGCCGAGCGGCCCCCGTTTTACTGCCGCCAGCTTCCGCCGAGGAAGCCAAGCCAACTACTCGATCTATCGAAGGCGTGGGCCCTTCTCGAGCGCCTCGTGCAGCACTGGGCCTCGGAGGGCATCCTCGGTGAGCGGGCTCGCCCTGGAGAGCTTGACAGAACGAGGCCCAAACCACCAGCACCTCTACGACCTCTCCAGAGGTCGACCAAGAAAGTCCACCCTCTTGTGTAGAGGAACATAATCAGCCCGGTGAAGACCCCCCCCCCTTAGCAACGAGAGGCGGCTATAAGCAGGACCGCTCAACGCGAGGGAATCTATCGAGAGGTCCCTGTGGGGCACGATCCTCATGGGGTGTGTGCCGAAATGGTCGCGGGGAAGCTATGCGAACGCACACGGGGCCATCGGTGGAGCTCCCTATGGGTGGATCCAAAACGAGAGCCCAATAGCCTTTCTTTTTATTCGCGATAGCGCCCGTGACCCGTCCCCTCCCCTCCCTCCCCCTGGTCACGTCACGATTCGCTGGCGCCGTCTGGGAATGAGCCATTCGTAAGCATTCCCAGACGGCGCCGGCGCGAATCGCGACGTGACCAGCCCCCTCCCCCCCTCCTCACCACCCGGTCGCGCCCGTTATGGCCAAGGGATACAAAACTGGCTCCTGTGGGCGAACTCAAACCGAGGGCCCAACTCACAGAAGGGGTGGGGAAAACATCAGCCTAACCTTTCGGAGGTCCGCTCGGATTGTCTGGGGGGTCCAGCACCAACCTAGGAAATCCGCACGGACCTCCCAGCCTTTGACTCTGGAGGCCGAGGACGTTCACCCCCTCGTGTTCACCCTGCCCACCTCTGCCCCCCCCCCCTTGTCTGAGGACCTCGCCACGGCGTGCAGGCACGATGCCACGCCTGCTGGCCCGAGCGCCTGCGCCCTGGCCGCCACGCACTCCGTCAGGGTCGCGAGGAGCTCCAGATGGCAGGCACCGCCGCGCGCTCCGGGCGCGGTCCCGAGCAGCTCCAGCACCCCGAGCAGCTCGCCAGGGGGCACCGACGAGGAGGGGGAGGGAGGGCCATGATGAGCACAGGGTGCATCAACGATTCTTGGCCCAAAGGGATAGCCAGGCTGAGGACGGAGTAAAATTTGTGGATCCGACCTGGTGCGAGAGGTGGGACGTCCCGCAAGTGTTCACCAAGTGCGGACTGATTCAGCCTGCCGACATAATTGTACCCCTGAGGGGTGACATGTGCTGATCCGTGTTTTGTTGATCGGAGTGTCTGGCATAGACTGACGCTTCCAATGATAATATTAAGGCATAGGCATCAACGATGCAGCAATACATCCTCCCGTCACAAGTCCCCCTCACATGGGCCCCACAGGCAATCTATCGAAATGAAAAAGCGCCCCTGGAAAGACGGGCGCCGAATTGGCGTGCCATTCAGTCGACAACCCCGTTCTGAAGAGGAACTGCCTTGATTCCTTCTGTGAGAGCTACGAGGAACGCGAAAGGAAGAGATGACCAAGTTCATCGAGGTGTCCGGCGATATCTCCGTTTTGTCGAGGAACCGGCCCTGCATCTTTGTAATTGTTGCGCAAGTCTTCGGTCATGGATACGAAATTCGCAAGCAATAATTTCAAGCGAACTCCCAAGTTGGAAAAGCAACCATTCTCCACCCGTGGAGCTAGTAGACATGTCTCAACAAGTGTACGCGGCGCTAAGGCGAGACCCCATTCTGGAAACCAACTGCCCTTCAAGCTTTCAAGACGAATGTGTGCGGCGCTGAGGCGACAGCTTAATTTTTAAACCGACCACCCTCCATCCTTGACTTTTGCAAGATTCAAAACGCATCTGCGCGGCGCCTGCGCGAGAGCCCCATTCTGAAAAGGAATCGCCCTCCATCCTTTTGGCTGTTGGAATTATCAAGCTCCATGGGCATAAATCGCGAGGGTAAAATGTCTAGAGAAGCGCCCGGTCCGCCCTACCGACACGTCTTGTGATGTGGTTGGGAAAAAGTCTACGTGAGGATAACGGACGAAACGCAAGCGAGTCCGCGGGATCCTCCATCCCCACCCTCCCTCCCACAACAGAAGAGTATATTGAAACACAAATTGATCTTGGAGCTGGAAGGCGCTCCCACCTAGCGAGCGGACGGCCCGCCACTTTCAAGGCCTGCTGGGGGGCCCAGCACAGTGACGCCACGGGCGGACCCAAATTAGACCTCGCCATCCCTGGGGGGCTGCGATCTGTGAAACTGGCGCCACTTTCGAGGCCTGCTGGGGGGCCCAGCACAGTGACGCCACGGGCGGACCCAAATTAGACCTCGCCATCCCTGGGGGGCTGCGATCTGTGAAACTGTCGCCACTTTCGAGGCCTGCTGGGGGGCCCAGCACAGTGACGCCACGGGCGGACCCAAATTAGACCTCGCCATCCCTGGGGGGCTGCGATCTGTGAAACTGTCGCCACTTTCGAGGCCTGCTGGGGGGCCCAGCACAGTGACGCCACGGGCGGACCCAAATTAGACCTCGCCATCCCTGGGGGGCTGCGATCTGTGAAACTGTCGCCACTTTCGAGGCCTGCTGGGGGGCCCAGCACAGTGACGCCACGGGCGGACCCAAATTAGACCTCGCCATCCCTGGGGGGCTGCGATCTGTGAAACTGTCGCCACTTTCAAGGCCTGCTGGGGGGCCCAGCACAGTGACGCCACGCGCGGACCCAAATTAGACCTCGCCATCCCTGGGGGGCTGCGATCTGTGAAACTGTCGCCACTTTCGAGGCCTGCTGGGGGGCCCAGCACAGTGACGCCACGGGCGGACCCAAATTAGACCTCGCCATCCCTGGGGGGCTGCGATCTGAGATCCCCGCTTTCGAAGTGGCTAGGGTTGCTCAGGGATTGCAACTAATCAGCTTTATCTAGTCCTTGTCCTGAAGCCAGTGTCCTGCGAGTCTCCCGAATTCCGTCTGCAGACATATGTAACCCTCGCTCCGTCATCGCCCCCCTTATAAAGTGTCCTAAACTATTTGCGCCCCGCGTTTGCGCAGGGGTTGGGTACGTCGCCAGGGTAATTTTTCGTTCCCGGGCGTTGGCACGGGACGAGTTGAATGATACACTTGCGTTGCAATCGATTGCAATCCATTGGATTGCAATCGATTGGATTGCAATCGGTTGAATTGCAATCGATTCAATCGATTGGATTGCAGGGGAGGGACAGGACGGAAGGGAGGGAGGGGAGGAGAGGGAGGGGAGGGAGGAGATGGAACGAAGGGTGGGGAGGGAGGGGAGGGAGCGGAGGGAGGTGGGGAGGGGGATTGCAGTGGAATGGAGTGCAATCGATTGCAAGCGATTCGATTGGGATTTTCGATCGTCGATCGTTGATCGTCGATCGTCCATCCTCGATCGTGGATTGTTCATTTTGGATCGTCCATCCTCGATCGTCCATCCTCGATCGTGGATTGTTCCTCGATCGTGGATCGTGGAGGCTCCGGGGGCTGGGCGGCCAAAGGGGGGAAGGGGGGGGGGGCTTCCAAGCACACCCAATTCGGCACACCCCTCACGCGTTTCGTGGCCCCATATGGAGCTCCACCGAAGGCCCCAGTGCTGCCGCCCGCATGCGCCACGCACACTCAATTCGGCACACCCCTCACGAGTTTAGTGGCCCCATAGGGAGCTCCACCGCAGGGCGGCTCCAAGGGAAGAAAGAGAAAGAAACACTCCGTGGGGGCCAAGTTCGTCTATAAAACTAGACATTCAGAGGCCCAGAGGCTATCCTCATATTGAGGATCCAAAACGCCTGGGGACGCAGGCCCCAAAGCTGCACCGAAACCTGGTGCACCGCCCGAGGCACTAAACCCGAGCACGAGTTACCCGAGTCTAGGCCAGCGGACTCCTCTGCACAACTACCCTCTACGTACCATTGCCAGGACATGCCTGCTCCTACTCAGCGCTTGCCAACGTGCGGTGCCTTCCTCTACTCCTAAAGCCTTCAGATATCGTGCTACCTCCAATCCTCCTTCTGGTTCATCCCCTCCATGTCTCATCACATATCTGCGTACCTCCGTACTCTCTGAAATCGATGCGCTTCTGTTCATATTTTCCAAAAAGGGTGGGTTCGAAACACTCCTCATTGGCATCTGTGATCCCCTCGACCCCGAAGAAGCCTCGAGGGCTCCAAGGGAGGGGGGGGGGTAGCTTAAGCACCCCACTCCGTTTGGAAAGGGGGGTAGGAGGGGGGTAGCTTCCGGGGCGGCCAAAGGGGGGGAGGGGGGGGGTAGCTTCCAAACCCTCCCCCCCTTTGCACGAAAGGGGAGGAGGGGGGGGTAGCTTCCAGCAGGGCAGCGCCAAGGGAGGGGGGGGGGTAGCTTAAGCACCCCCCCCTGTGGAAAGGGGGGGAGGGGGGGGGTAGCTTCCGGGGAGGGCCCAAGGGGGGAGGGGGGGGTAGCTGTAAGCCCCCCCCCCTTGCAAAAAAAGGGGGGGGAGGGGGGGGTGCTTCCAACAAGGGCGGCTCAAGGGAGGGGGGGGTAGCTTAAGCCTAGCCCCCCCTCCCCTTTGCTCGGGCCCTGTGGGCGCGCTCTCTCGTATGAAAGCCCGATTGCAGAAATTGCCAGCTTCCCATATGATGGGAAGGGCGCTCCACAATGCTAGCACACACCGAACAAAGAAAGAGGAGGAGGGGGGGAGATAGAGCGAGAGAGAGAGAGAGGAGAGAGATGAGAGAGAGGAGAGAGAGGAGAGGGAGGAGAGGGATCGAGGGAGAGAGAGAGAGAGAGAGCGAGAGAGGGAGGAGCGAGAAACGAGATGTCGACTGCGGCCTATTAGCGCCTGGCACGAGACACGAGCTGCTCCAATACAACACGACACGGAAGAGGGGCTAATGTATACTCCGCAAGCCGCTCCGGCATGGCGGGCGGAAACCGAGGCTTGCCAAGCAGCGTGCCCACGGCCCACGGCCACACTCTTCAGCCACTCATTGGGGCGCAGCGTGCCATGTGGAGAAGAACTGGGAACCGACGACTGATCGAACAAAGTCTCAAAAGACGATGTCACGCGTTATCAAAAGAGCATGAGACCCCAACGCCGTGTGACCGACAGTGCACGACCGAGGGGGCGGCGACTACGACATGACATGCTAGTAGGAGAAGCACGAAGGAAAGGTGAATCGAGTAAGGAAAAAGGAAGCGGATGAGACGGAGAGGGAAGTGGATGACGAGAGCCAGAGAAAACAACTAATGCATCACCTATGATGAAATACGCGCTCCCGTTCCCAAATCCCTTCTTTATAAGTCTCCGCGAACAGTCCGTGTTCGGGACTCAGCCGCCCTCGCGCAGTGACCACCACCACCACATGCCGCTCCTCTCCCTTCACCATGACCCTACCTCTTGGAACCTCTTGCAGCTAGAAGAATGGAGATTCATGGAGGGCGGCCCATCTTCACAATGGGGCCCTCGCCAGAATGTCGTTTGACCTTCAGACTCATGCGTGATCCGTGATCCGCAAAATGGAGGGATGGAGGGAGTAAGAGGACGAGTTCGCCAGGCGGCACCTCGGCGGGGCGAAGCGCCTCGGAGAGGAGGAGCGCGCCGACAGCGCAGGCGTCGTGCAGCGCCTCGTCGATGCCGTCCACGGCCGACGCGCCCGCCCCTGTACGCGCATCCCAAGCACCCGCGCCTGCGCCCGTCATCGTCTTGGTCCTGTCTCCTCCTCCATCCTCCCTCCTTCTGTCCCTCCTTTCCTCCTCGTTATCCTCTCCCATCCGCACGCTCCCACTTCTTGCGAGGCCGTTCGGCAGAAGACCGCTCGCCCAGCAGGCCTCTCGCCACGAAGTCAGCTCGTCCCAAAGAGCGCTCGCCCAGGAAACCGCTCGCCTGCAAGACTGCTCGCCCTGAAGGCCGTTCGCCTCGAAACTGCTTGCCCCAAGACCACTCGCTCGGAAAGCCGCTGGCCTGGAAGACCGTTCGCCTGGAAGGCCGCCTGCCCTGAAGCGAAGGAGAAAGGACGATCGAAAGAGAAGGGGGGAAGCGGGAGGAACGGCGGTGGGACGAAGGTCGGGTCGGGTGGACTGCGATTCGGGCGGCCGGGCCGGGCGTACCCTGATTCGAGCAGTCAGATCGGGACGGGTGGGGCGTGCCACAGATCAGGCGGCCCGGTCTGTTCGGACCTGGACCAGCTGGATCTAATCGGGCGGTCGAGTAGGGCCAAGGAGACCTAGACTCGGGAGGTCGGGTCTCGGGCGGTCGGGCCGGATTAGGTGATAACGGGCTGACTCGAGGTCTGGTTCGGGCGAGTCGGGTCAGTTCACATCCGACGGTCAGAACAGGTGATGGAGTAGTTCTGTCCGAGGAAGCATCTATACCCGAACTGATCTCTGCCAGAACGGACTTCTGCCAGAACAGTATGTATCCAGACAAAATATTCCGGAACCGCTTCCGCTGGAGAAATATGTTCCCCCAGCGGTTCACAAACGGACTGGTCCTGGCCCACGGGTTTTCCAAACGGTGTTGTTTTCCTCCTCTTCCTCTTCCTGCTCCTCCTCCTCCTCTTCCTCCGCCTCCTCCACCTTCTCCCCGCCCCTTCTCCGCAAGGGCGGAATGTAATGGGGAGGGGGGAACTGGCAGGGTGGAGCGGGCGGAGAAGCGGGGGGGGCGGGGGGAACAAAGGTGCGACTGGTGAAACGCCCCCGAAGATGCTGACGGCGGGGTCGGCGGGGTCCGAGTGCTGCAGGTGTCTGAGCGGGAAGGAAGAGAATCAACGGTATGACGAAACTGCGCAAGAACAGCAATCCGCCAGCCCCCTTGTGGGGCCACCAGGCTCCGCGGATTAGGCTTGCTGCTCCCTGCGCCAGTTCCAGCTTCCAGTCTCCAATCTTACAATCCTGCTTTCTGCTTCCCCCTGTGAATTGTTAAAGTTCGCGCGAGGGGGGGAAGCCGAGAAAAGCTTTGGTTACCACCGCCTGCGGGGGTTATCACAATTTCCGGGGGGTCCTGGGACGCTTGCAAATACTTGAGATTCAAGCCCCCGAAGCCATGATCTACAACAAATCACGCTAGATTCGTGCCCCCGAGGCCATACTCCCTGGCCAATTGCACAATATTTGCGTCCCCGAGACCGAAAACGCACCAACATTACATTGTGTTCGCGCTCCTGAGACCATTTCCCCGTAACTTGCGATATTTTCGCGTCTCCAGAGCAAGACTCTCTTGTACATTCCGCAACGCTTGCGTCCCGCAACCACGACCCCTCGTGAATTACTCGTTCCCCGCGTCCCCGAAACCAATAAACCTTTTGCAAAGTAGATATACTTCGCGCTTTCGAATCCACTATCCTTCATAAAAAGCCACCTGTGACGGTACCCGAGGTCTCCGAAACGGACCAAGAGTGCCCAAAGGCGCAACAGTGTCCCAAGACGGCCCAAAAGGCGTCCAAGAGCCCCCCCAACGCGCTCGAAGAGCACCCCCCAGAGGGGCCCAAGAGGCTAACATTTGCGATTTGCCTTCGGTTGTTGATGGATTTTCATTTTGGGACGCTCACCTTTTCGGGCTTCCGATGCTCCAAGACAGCCTAAAAGGCCCCCCGAGACCGCCCCAAGACGGCCCCAGAGGCTCTCAAGAGCGCCACAACATGGTCCAAAAGGGCTCCAAGACGGCTCAAGAGATCCCCAAGAATAACCCGAGACGGATCCCCGTTCGCAATTCCGACGCTGGTACACGACGGCGCCCAGGCCCCACACCATAGCTCTTGCTTACCACGTTCTCAGAAAGAGGGGGCCGGCGGCAGGGGGCGAAGCCTTTACGGATACCGGAAACACGAAAAAGACGAGGGGGGCGAAAACGTGACGAGGAGGAGGGCGGACAGTGGTCACGCGGTGATGGTGATGATGCCGATGATGATCGTGCGCGATCGGGGCACAGCGCCCAGCAGCACTGAAGCAAAGACCCCGCCACCCGCGCACCCCCGACACCCCAGCTACCGAGCCCCGCTGGCAGGGCGGCACTTCCCGTTGGTTGACCGCGTCCCTGACCACTAGAGCAGCAGCCGCGTGGACAGCCTGGACGCTGGCGGAATCCACGGCGCGGCGGCGTCGCGGGAGTTTCTGGAGCATCTGCGCGACGACGGGAGTGACAGACGCTGGCGGCTCGCTGGTCAGAACCGAGCAGCCCTTGGAATGCTGGGCGTCCGCGGCAAGATGGACGCGCCCTTCTGCTCGTTGGGAGGCTCGTTCGCCGACTTGCGGGCGTCGCGCCAACTTGTCGGTGCAGAGGGCAGGGACGGGGTCCCGGCCTGACGCGCTGGTGGAAGGGCGAAGGCGCGTTGCTTCTTCTGTCTGCTCGTTGTCACTCGGTATTGGCAGGAATGGGATTCGTAGGACCTGGCGGCTTAGTGATATGCGCGGGGGGGCGTCCCCGCGCCCCAGCCCGAAAGCATCGCTCGGCTGCCTGCTGACCAAGTTCGCCCCCCTCCCGCTCCAATGCAAGGCAACGTGAAAGACCGATCAGTTTTCTCCCATCAGTGCTTGTACTGATTGGATCCTCGCAGACAATGAAGGATGTGGGGCGAATGCGCAGCCGATTTCGTTGGGCGGTCGGGCTCCTGGGTTCGCGAGGTCGCAGAAATTTGGCTGACGTTTCAACCCGATTGGGGCGGGCGGCCGATTCCCGAGTTCACATGTTCCTGCGGGTATGCCGGTCGAGACCCTTGCGAACCCTCATGATACCCCGAGAAGGCCCCGACAGGCCCTACAGATGGCCCAAGACGGCTCTAAGCTCTAGGTATACCCCAAGAGGACCCCCGGTCAATATGTGGGCATCCTGACTTTGGGCCATCCTGGGGTCCACGTGGGCCCCACTTGGGCCCCTGCAGGCACCTCCGCCCTCCAGCGCGCCGCACGCGGCGCGGCAGCGCGGTGCCGCAGGGGGCCCCGACCCCTCCTCCACCACTGACCGGAACTGCCGTCACCAGATAAAAACACAAGCTATGGCAGGCCTGGTTGAGTGCTTCGGCCCCGCGCGCCAACGCTGGCGCCGTCTCGGGGCAAGACCACGAAACGGAGCCGCCGTCGCCGAGCGTTGTGAGGCGTCGTGCTGGTGGGGGGGCTACACGAGGGTCGGCTGCCAGCGGGGGCGCCGTATTCCAGGCGCCAGCCGAGGGGCTGCCGAATGAGCCCCCGCGCTCCCTTCTCGGCCCCCCGCGCTCCCTCTCACTTGCCGGCGCAGCCTGGGGCGCGCGCGAACGTAGCTTCGGTCTCCACTCCTGGCGTGGGGGGAGGGCCGAAACCACTTTCTTCTACCAGATCCCCATTGCATCGTGCCCTCGCGTGCAATGTTTCCAGCCCTTCTACAACAAAAACCGCCGCTGCCAGAGGGGCCGCGGTTTCCAGAAGAAGAACAAGGCGAGGAAGAGGCAAAGAAAGCTGGCCAGGACGAGGGGAATGGACGATGAGGCGCATGGGCTTGTCTGGAAGACAGCCGCAGATGATCGAACCGATCGCGCACGCCCACGCGCGCGAGCGCGCCATCGCTGCACCTTCTTTCTGGGTTTTCGGGCGCTACTCCTTTCGGCCCCTGACCTGGGGCCCTGGCTATGCCCGACGCGGGGCGTCGAGCCGCCGCCCGTGCGCTGGTGGGAATCTCCACCTGCGAAGGTCGCGTCCGAAACAGGCACTCTTGAAGAGGCACTCGGTGCCGCGCGCGCAGGCCCCGCCCCCGCCGCGGAGACTGCGCTAGAGATGGCCTCGCAAATGTCGCGGGGCTGCTTGCGCAGCCCTTGAAAACGGAGTCGCCCGTCGACTGCGTACGCCGTGCCTCGAGCTCCGCCCGCTGAATCTTCGACTCATAGGTGGGCCTACTGCCCGCCTGGCTGTTGGCCGCTTGCTGCGCCAGCGCCTGCGCTGCCAGGCTCGGCGGCGCGGGCGCGCTTGGACTGAGCTTCCAAGATGTAGCCGAAGCAGTCCCTGAAGGCTGCTGGGTCGCCAACGCCGACGCCATCACAACCGCTCTTATAGCGCACTCGTCTGCCAAGTTGTCAATGTCGACCGCCATATGGCGGCTGCCTTGGAGGCGGAGGCGCCACTGCCTCCACTGGCGTCAGGGCCTGCGCCGTCCTGGGTGGCGGAGGTGGCAGCTGCCGCGGCGGTCTCGACCCGCCGCTGCATGGCGCGGGCCCGCGGGGCGACTGGGCTGGAACCCCCGCCTGGGCCAAGCTGGCCTCGCAACGCCGCCAAGGTTTCCGCGCCCGCCTTCGCCGCGTCGATGTCGCGGGTGCTGCGCAGGGCCACGCGCTTGCCCCTGCTTGCCTTCTCATCCTGCTTCTCCGCTCGCAGGTTGGCCGCGTTGGGTCGCAGGGCATCGAGCTCGTTTCCCAAATCTTCCATGGCGGACTCATGCTCGAATATGCGCTTGTCCGTTTTCCTGGTGCGATCGTCGCAGTCCTTGAACGGCAACTGTATTGGCCTGGTGCTGAGTCGCTCCGCCGGGACTCCAGCCAGCCGCTCGTACTTGGCCAGCAGGGCCACATCGCAAACGAGGGTCTTCTCGAGGGCTTTGATTTCGCTGCGAAGCATGGCCGTGTCCGCGGTCTCCATCGAGGGGCGTTGACGATGCCAGAAGCCGAGCTGTCGGCGAGAGTTGCGAACTCCACGTTGGCCGATGAACCCTGAATTCCTTCGCCGATATCTTCGGACTTGGCTACCGTGCTCCGTGCCCGCGATGAGGCTCGCTTGGGTATGGCTGGCCCACAGCCCGTGCACGCACTGTTGTATGTCCAGCCCCCCTCGGTCCTGCACTCCTGGCACTTCTACGCTGGTCTGCGCTCTGCCGTCATGCTGGAGCCGTGATGCGTTTGCAAGGTGGCCGCCGCTCGCGAAACGGGGCATCAACCGACACGCCGCGCTGCGCCTGCGCCGCGCGCGCCTGTGGCACGCGGGGGATGCAGTTCGGCGGCCGTTGGGCGCGGCTCCCACGGCGGAGGGGCGGCTGCTAGGCGCTGATGTCTCCGCACCGTCGCTGTCGGCTCGTAAAACAAAGCAAGCTGGAGGCGAGGGCGTGGAAGCCTGGCCTCCCCCGAATACCATTCGACCCCGCCCCGATGATCATGGTGATGAATCTGGTGGTGCAGCAATGATGAAATACGGTGAAGGCATTGGTCAGGAAGCCGGTAGAACTCCAATCGTGGATCGGCCATTGATGTCACCGCCGCCCTCATCAGATCCGCCGGCCCCCTTGTGGGGCCACCAGGCTGTAGGCTGGAGGTTCGCAGTTTCCTGTACCAGTAGCAGCTTCCAATTTCCACTGTTACAGTTCTGCTTCTTGCAGCTTACTGTTCCTTGTTGCAGTTCTGCTTCTTGCTGCTAACTGTTCCTTGATGGACCGCGCGAGGGGGGAGGCCCAAAACAAGCATTTTTACCACGGCCAATACGTGTTGTCTGAATTGCTGGTATGGGTAATAATTGACACCCCTCACGCAGATCGGCGGGGTCTGGTTCAAAAAACAAACGGGATTTGCCACTTTTCTGAAATTCGGTGGCATGGCACCCCTCACGCAGATCGGCGGGCTCAGGGTCCAAAAACACATGGGATTTGCCACATTTCTGAAATTTGGTGGCACCCCTCACGCAGATCGGTGGGGTCAGGGTCCAAAAGCACAAGGGATTTACAACTTTCTGAAAGTCGGTGGCACCCCCCACGCAGATGGGCGGGGTCTGGGTCAAAAAACATATGGAATTCACAGCTTTTCTAAAATTCGGTGGCACCTCTCATGCAGATCGGCGGGGCAAGGTCGAAAAACACAAGGGATTTGCGACTTTTCTGCAATTCGGTGGCACCCCTCACGCAGATCGGCGGGGCCAGGGTGCAAAACCACATGGGATTTGCCACATTTCTGACATTTCCTGACACCCCTCACGCAGATCGGCGGGGTCAGGTTCCAAAAACACATGGGATTTGCCTCATTTCTGAAATTTCCTTTCACCCCCCATGCAGATCGGCGGGGTCGGGGTGCAAAAACGAATGGATTTGCAACTTTTCTGAAATTCGGTGGCACCCCTCACGCAGATCGGCAGGGTCAGGGTCCAAAAACACATGGGATTTGCCACATTTCTGAAATTCGGCGGCACCCCCCACGCAGATCGGCAGGGTCAGGGTCCAAAAACACATGAGATTTGCTACATTTCTAAAATTCGGCTGCACCCCTCTCGCAGATCCATAGGGTCAGGGTCCAAAAGCACAAGGGATTTGCCACATTTCTGAAATTCGGCGGCACCCCTCACGCAGATCGGCGGGGTCAGGGTCGAAAAACAAACAGGTCCCGACACTGCTTCACGGCGAAGCCAAAGCCTCATGACTTCGCTCTGCCATGGCCCATTGTCCGAGAGAGGGGGCCGGCGGCAGGGGGCGAAGCTCTTACGGATGAGAGAACCTGCATTGTCTGAAGCCTCTTCGACACATTCCTTAACCAGCGCCCCCCCCGTGTTACAAAGATGACGGGGGAGGAGTTGGATGATTCCCATTAAAAGGCCCCATGAGGCCCCGAAACTGGCCCCCAAGAGGCATCAGCACTGCCTCCAAGAGACTCCAAAGAGACTCCCGAAAGGCATCCCGACAGACTCCAAGAGGCATCCAAGAGGACTTTGACCCAAAACCCAGGCACGGTGGCGGGTAGGGCCGAAGGCAAATAGATCCACCGCCCCATTTTGATTTATCAAAGAGGTGCCTGGCGTATTAGACCCTCTCGGTTTTGGTTTTGGTTCCTTTTTCCAGAAGAACTCCCCCTGGGGCTCCAGCGCAGCGCGTCCAGCCGGCCACCCGGAAAGGATCTCAAAACGCATCCGTCTTGTCTCTGTTTCCTCCAGATGGCCCTAGATGGCGTCCAAGACGGCCAAGATGGCCCAGGATGGTCCCCAAGACGTCTCCAAGACGGCCCAAGATGGCTTCCCAGCCGGCTAAGATGGCCCCAAGATGTCTCCCAGACGGTCCAAGATGGCCTCAACATGGTCTACGACGGCCCAGAAGGCCCGCAAGAGGCCTCCAAGACGGCCCAAAAGGCCTCCAAGAGGTCCTCCAGGAAGGCCCGACGAGGCCAAAATCTTTGTCTGGTAGGGCTCCATTCCACAACCTTTGAGCGCAGAGAACGTGTCTCGAGAAACGCGGCACGGGCGGCGAAGCATGGCCGGCAGCGAAAAACTGCCGGAGGCTTGGCTACAGACGGCGGCCTGCACTGAGCAGGACGATCATCACAAGAAATAAGCTTCGAGGTAACACTGAAGGACATTGAGAAGCGCACGAGGTGGCGGAGGGCAGGCCACGGGTGCACTTGAGACACAGTCAAAAGGCCATGGGACACCCCAGACACTACCGTGCAAGCACTCCAATGTCTGGTAGGGCTCCATCACACAACTTTTGAGCGCAGAGAACGTGTCTCGAGAAACGCGGCACGGGCGGCGAAGCATGGCCGGCAGCGAAAAACTGCCGGAGGCGTGGCCGCTGACGGCGGCCTGCACTGAGCAGGACGATCATCGCAAGAAATCCCGAATCACTTCCCAAAGCGTGGAGGTGTTCTCTCGAGGTGTGCAGCTATCAACGCGGCGGCTAAGTTGCGGCACAAACCAGCGGGATATGGCTCTGCGACTTTTGTCCACGGCACACGTCTGGTCGGGTGCGGTCCTGATAATTCGATGTGTTGACGCCCGCTGTAGTAGCGGCATCCCTTTCCCGTGCAGAGCCGCTTCCGTAGCGGAACAACACAATGGTCGGCAACATTGCCAAACAAAAAGTGTGTCCGCTTTCTCCATCTTGTTCCGTAGCTGCAAGAATCCAATGAGACATGGGTAGCTGTGCGCACCGCTCGCCGCCGCAGGGCTGGAATCTCCCACACTAAGCTGCTATATGGTTTGTCTAGAAACCACGGTCTGCTACAACTGTCGGGCACGCGCATGATACGAAGGGTCGCCCTGAGGAATCTGTTACCCCGTCTAAGGGCGGCGTGATCATTGACGCTGAACTCGGATCTGTCGCTAACTCCCCAGGGCTGCGCTGAGGTCCTGATGAAACGCGTCCTCATTCTGGCAATCGAGAAATTGGTGCATTCTGTCGGAATGGCTGCTCCAAGAATCAACCCACTCTTGGCGTCATTCTCGAGGCGGCGAAGCACAGCGTGGTCGGTGGTCCAGCGCAGCGCTGTAGCGGAGGTCCCACATTCGGGCGGCGTAACCGCGGTGAGAGAAGGCCTTGCCAACGCCACCCTCGCCGCAGAAGAGATCCGCGAAGCGCGGGCGGTGGCTCGCAGAGGTGCGAAGGGCTGGGCGGCCACGTGGCCGGAGAAGAGCCCCTCGAGCTCCACGTCTGCCTTCCGGAAGGCTGCAGTCTGCCGCGGCAGCAGGCGGGGGGCCGAGAGGTTGAGCCTGGCCGCGTTCTCATACCTCTTCAGAGGGCTCTCGCACTGCCAGCCGCCTCTTTTCTTCAGCTCGAGATGGTCAGGATGGCGCTCCTGCAGGTCTAGCGAGGCCCCCGAGTGGCGACACTGGTGCGTCACCAGGTTCCCGAGCTGAAGTCGCGACCTGGTCGCATTGAACTGAGCCACCAGCTCGGGGCAACTGTGCGGGAAGAGCCGAGAGTCGGGGCGGCCTTGCGCCAGCGTCGCGATCGCCCGCGGCAGCCACGGATACAGCTTGCTCGAGAGGCTGATTCCTTCGTCCTGCATCTGGTTCTTGCGGGGGGCCGCCCGCGTCTGCGGGAACAGCGGCACCGCCCAGTCCTCCGAGCCGCCCTCCACTGGCTTGATGAGGCCCCGGCGCTGGATAGTGAGAGGCCCCCCAGGGCGATGGTAGGTAACGATCGCCCAGATGATGTGCAGGCCCATGAGCCAGAACCCACGGCAGCAGAGGTCCCAAACGATAACTGACCATATCATCTTGACTACATGGTTCCGAGACCGCCGACCGCACCGCTGGCGCCGGCCTTTCAGGCGTCGCCAGGCCCGGGGAGAGCGCGATCCACCCAGCTTCAATACTGAGGCTGGAAGTGCAGGAGAGCCGACAGCAGCACGTCGCCCCTGTGCGAGTTGTTCCCTGACCCGTAGAGCTCGTTCATGTAGCGCGCGAGAGCACCGTCCACCTCGCTGTCCACGACGAGCGACTGCTCCCCGGCGGCGCTGATGAATGCCTGGAGCTCCACCTGGTAGCGGGTCTCCGTGCCCTGCCTGACTGCAGAGCGCTCCAGCAGCGTCAGGCCGGCCATGCGCCGCGCCTCGACCTCGTCCTCGAGCTGCGTCGTGGCGTCGCTCTCGTCGCTGCTGCCCCCCCCCCGCGGCTGCAGCTCGCCTCCAGGTCGCGCGGCCTTCGAAGCGGGAGGGGGCAGCGCCGGCCTCTGCCTCCCGCGGTCGCTGGGCGCCGGCAGGGTCCGCCCGCGGCGGACCGGCGCACGCGTCTCGGCTGGGGGGCTCCCAGGAGTCGGCGACAGCACCCGCGAGCGCTTCGCGAGCCGCTCGAGCGCGGCTGCAGCGGGCGCGCTGCCTCCTTCCGAAGGCGGCGCCAGCGGGCGGCGGCCGCGCTCGCCCCTCATCGGAGACGCGCCCTGGGCGCCCAAATGGGGCGCGCCCACGAGCCGGGTGCCGCGGCGGACTGAGTCTCCCGAGGCTGCTGGGGGTCTCGGATGCTCGGGGCGCTGATGGGCTCGACGGGCTCGTCGGGGGCCGTGGGGGTAGCGCGCGGGGCTCCCTGAAGGGGGCGAACTGGCACTTAATGTAGAGGCCTTCGGAGTTGCCCTGCCTCTGCTGCTTGCTGTAGCCAAGTTGCTGTTGGGATCTATGCTGACGTGCTCACTCTTGCTCTCATAGTTGCCGAACTTGCTGTGCGGGTTGCTCTCCGTGTCCACGTGCCTGCGGTAGTGCATGCTCTTGTGATGTGCGCTATCTTGTTCATGTGCATGTTGTGGTAGTCTATGATTCACAGGAGTCTTGTCATCATCTTTGGAGGCCTCCCAAGAGTTCACCAAAGTCTTGCTGGGGTCGTAGCTCGGGTCATACAGCCTAGAGCCCTCATCGCTCTGGCTGAGCTCACTCGGAACCCACCTCGCATGGAGGCGCTTGTCGAGGCAGAGCCCCAGGGCGACGGCCCGCCTGATGCAGGCGAGAACCACGAAGTTTCTCGCTCTCCTCCTCTCGGAGCAAAGCACTGCAGGCAGGGCGTCGCTCATAACAACGACATGCTCTCCCTCCCGCGGCGACAGACTGCACTGCATCCCCATCGCCTTCAGGAGGGCCCGTGATTCATCAACGAGCATATCCTCTGACGTGTTATGCCACCCGCGGGCGACAACCTCTGTCCAGCGGGGCCCCGAGAAGATCTCCGCTGCCATCTCCTTGAAGCTTCTATCGGACCCCCACTCGGTCTGAGGTGCGATCACATCGTGCTGACCAAGCTCTGCAAACTCTTTGAACTCTCCACTGCTAGTCATCGCAATCGCATTGCTGGCAAAGAAATGGGCCCGTGCCGAGCGCCCGCCCAAACACGGAAACGCGAGCGCTCCTGCGCCCGCCCGATCTTCTTCACGGCGGCCCGGTCGAAGAGCGAGGCGCTCACCGCAAAGCCGTGCTCGGACGCGTCGGAGAGGCAGACCAGCGGGCGCCAGGGGGGCGCCCAGTCGCCCCGCAGCAACGGCATCAGCCCGCGGAAGGCGACCAGCTCGGCCCTGGCCGACGGCCGCAGCGGAGCCCCCTGGTGGTAGTGGGCTGCGATGAACTTGTATATCGCGTTGAAGACGGGGAGGAGGTCCTGGTTGCGCATCGCGCAGTAGGTGCAGTGGCCGAGAACGATCTCCCACCCCCACCCCGGCAGGGCCCTGCAGCCCAGCGCCCGCGCGATGCCCTGGCGGACCCGCCAGTAGCGCTTGGCCGTGAGCCTGGTTGTCAAGGACCTCCCATCCAGCACGCGCCCCAGCGTCTCGCCGCGGCCCTTCTGAATGTCCGTCTCGTGCGTCTTCAGGCCCGCGGCGCCGAACCTCGCCGCGGCGGCGGCCAGGCTGCTGGAGACGCCCCCGCTGTCGAAACCCAGCGCTCCGAGGTTGTCCACGTAGGTGCGCTGAGCTCCTACTCCCTCAGCCAGCGGGGCCGACGGGCGCAGCGCTGTCACAGGCCCTCGGTCGCTCATGCGGTGGGCCCGCTCCAGCTCGGGGGCGGCGCCCATCGCAGCCCCCCCCCCCCCCCCTTCCCGGCAGAAGTAGAGCGACCAAGTGAAACCCGTCGGCAGGGCGGCGCACGCGGGCGCCGGCCGGCGGTCGGGCGCCGCCGCAAGGCCCCCGATGGTGGCGCCCACAAGGCCGACCTCCTGCGCCGTTGCGCACCGCGTGCAGAAGTAGCCAGAGAGGCCTCGGTCAATCCTGAAGCGGTGGAAGGTGTCGCTGATGTCGGAGGCCCCCAGCGCGAAGCCGAGGTCCGCGCCGACGTGGATGCCATCGCTCTCCGCCTCGACGCGCGCGAGCCCCTCGGCCGTCACAAGCGACGCGCCAGGGGGAGATGTGACATGGAGGTTGCTCCGTCGGGCGTCGATGATGAGACGAAGCTGACTGGGCTTCTTGGTCGCGAAGAAGACTCGGACCTCTTAGCGGCGCTCAGCTTCATCCAAAAACACCAGCATGCCCTTGGAGTAGAGTTAATCTTATCATGCGTACGTGGAGCCTGCGGTTGCGAGCCAACGACGGATCCCAGTGAGGGGCGATGTCACACTCGTCAAGTCGACGGCGCAAGCTAACCTCATCAAGAAGCACCCGAGATAAACCGTCCTCGAGGAACTGGCGCGCGTGGGCAGGTGCGATGTCCAACAGCCGTGGCCCTCCCACCGCGGTCTTAGGTGAGGATATCTGCTCCGCGCTGCGAATGCGTCCGACGTTCCGTCCGGCCGACTCGTCGTAAACACTGCGGCCGTGCAGCAGCTATGAGACGGCTGCCCGCGGGAAGGGGGTCGCGGTCTCCAAGGGCGGCAGGCTGTCACCCACGCACTCGAGGATCCGCGCGTGCACCCTCGTCGGGTCAAAATTCGGCTTGGCGCCTGTGGTGGCTCGGTTCGCCAACCAGTTCAAGGCGTCGACAACCTCATTGAAGTCACGGCGGGCCCGCCTGGCGAGCCGAGCGGCTCCGCGGCTCTGGAGCTGCGCCCAGTTCTCCTCGCGGTCATCCAGCCTCGGCAGGGGGGCAAGCGAGACATAATTATCCACCCCGACTTCGCGCGTGGGCTGTGCACTGCCGGCGGGGCGCTCACCCCCGCCTGCCTGGGCGGTCATGCCGCCTAGGGCGCGGTGAGCTTGCCACCGCGCCCGGCTGCCCCGCGCCCCCCGCCGCCTCGATCATCTCCACGACCTCGTCCGCGTCCGCGTCCGCGGCCGCGCCCGTCAGTCGTGCCCGAAGAACCACTTGGGGGCCCCTCCCCCGCCTCCAACGCCAGGAGGCTCGGCGCCGACGCGCCAGCGGCGCAGCTCTTCCAGCTCTCAAGCTCCATCTCCTCCTTGTTCCGGCGGAAGACCGCCGACCTCGGCGCAGGGTCGATGACGTCCAGCGGGCCTGTCGCGCCCAGGTAGTGCCGCAGGCCGCTCCACTTTGGTGGCTTAGTGGGGTCGCCCGAGATAGGCCGCCACGATCTGCGACACTTTGCGGCACAACACCTCGATGCTCGCCATGCTGGCCAAGTTGAGCTGGTCGTAGCTCCCAGCGTAGTTGATCGCCGAGAGCAAGCACTTCATCTCGATGTAAGTGCGGTCCGACGAGCTGATGTGCCGATCCCGCGCCCACATCTCCAGCCACAGCAGGGGGTTGCCACCGCTCTGCTCCCACTTCTTGATCATGTGCTCGACGGTGGAAAGGCCGTCCTCCAGGGGCCAGTCGCGGAAGGTGTGCCGCTTCACCTCGCGGGCGACCTCGCGCCAGGGCTTGTGTCGCTCTCCACGCTCGTCATGCTGTACCCACAGCGTCCTCACGTCATCAGCGACCTTGGCATCGGGCGCCCCCTCGAGTGCCGGCACCCCAAGCCTGTCCCGCAGGTCCCTGTCGCCTGCCTCCAGGTCGGGAGCCCCAGCGGCAGTGGGCACCACGGCGGGCTCGGGGCCCCCTCCTGGCGCCGCGCGGCGGCCGTCGCCCAGGTCCTCCAGCAGGTTCATGGGCACCCTGGGCCGCCGACGACGTTAGCCGTTGACCTCCTCCACGGGGACCGCCTCCGCGACTTGCCAGCTCCCGCCATCGCGGAAGGCGGCGTGGTGGGCGTCGAGCCGCACGCTGCCTTCGGCAAGGGCCACCTCGCGTCCCACAGGCAGCGCCCCAGGGGAGGCTACGACCCAGGCGCGTCCCTCAGGAGGGTCCAGGACCGGCGGGGCGGCCCGCAGCGGCCGCCTCCACCAGTGGCCCAGCGTCGGCGCCAGGCGGCGTCGCCGCCCCGCCCGCCCCCTCACTCGCGACTCGGAGGGGGAGGCGACGGCGGAGCTCCGAGAAGGCCGTCAGCTCGCCCTCCCAGGTGAAGTAATGCTCGGGGTCCTCCACTGCACCGTGTTCGGCTTGAGCGGTGCGCGCTCGAAGGACGAGGGAGCAGAACTGGGCTGCGCGCGCGGGTTCCGAAAACCTGTAGAAATTCCCGCGCGCCACAGCAGGCGCGACTCCGCTCGGGCTGCACGCGAAGGCCCTGTCGCAGCCGTCTCCCACCACCGCCGCGACGTCCTCGACGTACGAGTCCATGTCCTGCGTGAGCACCCACCAGTAGGTGCCTCCCGCGGGGAACAGAAGCAGCCTCTCATGCCACACCGTATCTCGTGGATACCATAGCCCCACTCGGAGCCCACGTCGGAGCTCAGCGCACACTCCTCCACCGCGGCGCTCGATCCGTCGGGCCAGATCACGCCCGCTCCGCGGCATCTCCTCTGAACTACTGCGAGCATGGCGCCAACAGCGAGCCACAACGCAGCAGCTGATCAGCACGAAGAACTCGATCCCTGCCACCAGCCAGGAGAACACCAGCGCGACCGCGCGCTCCGGCACCAAGGCCCGAAAAGGCCAAAATCATGAATTTCCCATTGGTTTTTGAAGGATTGTGGTATTCGTTTTTTTTCTGCCTTCCGACGGCCCGAGCCGGCCCAAGTGCCTCCAAAGATCGCCCAAGAGGCCCAAGATACGGCCCCAAGAGGCCCCCAAAACGGCCCAATCGCCGCAGGCGTCTTCGATCCGCCGCCCCCTGTCGATTCGTCGCCGGGGTACCTGGCGTGCTAGACCCATTCGTTTTTTTTTTTTTTGGGGGGGGGGGGGGGTCCAAAAGAACACCCCCGGGGCCTTCGGCCCGTCCCGCCAGCCACCCCGAAAGATTGCCAGGCTTGTCCAGAGGTGGTTGCCCAGGGTTTGTCCTGCTCCAGGCGGCTCCAAGACGGCCCGAGATGGTCTCCGAGACGCCTCCAAAACGGCCAACATGGCCTCCAAGACGGCTCAGATGGCCCCAAGATGCATCCAAGATGGCCCAAGATGCCTCCAAGACGGCCTAAGATAGCCTCAACATGGTTCAAGACGGCCCAAGAGGCCCCCAAGAGCCCCCTAAGACGCCTCCAAGAGGTCCTCCAGAAGGGCCCGAAGAGGCCAAAATCTTTGATTATCCTACGGTATTTGAAGGATTTTGGCATTTGCGCCATTTCGGCTTTCCGACGACTCAAGACGGCCCAAGAGGCCCCCAAGGTCGCCCACGAGGCCTCCAAGATGGCCTCATGACGGCCCAAGGGGCCCCCAAGATACCCCCAAGAGGGCCCCACGACGGCCCAAGAGGCCTCCAAGACGCCCAAGACGGCCTCCAAGACGGCTAAGATGGCCCCAAGATGCATCCAACACGGCCCAAGATGCACCCAAGACGGCCTGATATGGCCTCCAGATGGCCCAAGACGGCCCAAGAGGCCCCCAAGAGGCCTCCAAGACGCCTCCAAAAGGTCTCCAGTTTCCAGGAGGGCCCGAAGAGGCCAAAATCATTAATTGTCGTAAGGTTTTTGAAGGATTTTGGAATTTCCTTCTTTTCGGCATTCCGACGGCTCAAGACGACCCAAGGGGCCCCCAAGACGGCCCTCAGAGGGCCCCCAGAGGCCTCCAAGACGCCAAAATGGCTTCCAAGACGGCGAAGATGGCCCCAAGATGCCTCCAAGACGGCCTAAGATGGCCTCAAGATGGCCCAAGACGGCCCCCAAGAGGCCTCCAAGACGGCCACGAAGAGACCAACATGATTGATTTTCTTCTCGTTTACTTAGGCGTTTGCTTCTGCTTTGGCGTTTGTTTCTTCTCGGCATTCCGGCGGCTCAAGACGGCGCAAGAGGACCCCAAGATCGCCCAAGAGGCCTCCAAAATGGCCCCATGACGGCCCAAGAGGCCTCCAAGACGCCCAAGATGGCCTCTGAGAAACCCTGATATGCCCCAAGAGGGCCCCAAGACGACCCAGACAGGCCCCCAAGACGGCTTCCGACGGCATTACACGGGTCAGGCACGACCTAAGACGGCCAAAGAGGTCTCCAAGAACCCCCCCAATCCCCCAAAACCATCCAAAAGGCTCCCGGGAAGCTCCGCAGAGGCTTTTCAAGAGGCCTCCCAAGAGGCGCCCAAGAGGCCTCCTCCTCCTCCTCCTGCTCCTCCTTTTTTTCTCCTCATCCTCCCCCTCCTCCTTTTATTGCTGGCCCAAGTGTTCCCCGAAGTCTTTCCAAACCGACTCGGGGAACAACTGGCCCGATAGCTTGGTCAAGCTCTGGCCCAGCTGTCGGCCACAGGCGCTTCCAAAGGGGCAGGGGGCGGCGGTGATTCGCCGCAGGCGTCTTCTATCCGCCGCTCCCTGTATTGATCACAAGGATGTCAAGCGTACTAAATCCCACTGGTTTCGGTTTCGGCTCTTTTTCCACAAAAACTCTCCCTTGGGGCTCCTGCCCAGCGCGCCGGCCACCCGGACAGGCGCGCAATCATGCACAACAGCCCAAAATTACCTCCAAGACGGTCAAGATGGCCCAAGATGGCCTCCAAGACGGCCTCCAAGAGTTTGAAGGGGGTCGGTAGGCCCGACCAGAAGCTACGCCTTAGGCGAATCACAGCTCCAACTCTGTTGTCTCGTAGTAGCGGTCGTCCCAGTCGTAGGAGATCGTCGCGGGAACGACGGGCCATCTCAAGCGAAATAAGTTTTCGGTCTCGATGGCGAATCGTAAATTTCGTATTGAGGTCTAGTCAGATATCGGCGGCCGGCCCCTTGAGCACAAACGGCCGCGGACAAACGCTCGTTACCTCTCGCCCTTGTCCCAGCTCACTTTAGAGTCGGGGGGAAGGGAAACGAAGCGTGAGTCCGCCGCCACTATACAGCACATGCAGCAAGTATTATGTACAAAAGGGAGCAAAAGGCGGGGCCGTAAGGAAGGCGGACCCGCAAGCAAGTTGCCTTGCAAGCACATTGCTGTGCATGTGATTATTCCTCAGGCGGCCGCAGACCAGGATGTCTGGCCA